CCTGGGCCTGGTGGCTGCTGCAGGAGGATCCTGGGCCTGGTGGCTGCTACAGGAGCCTGGTGGGATTAATAAGGTCTTTGTCTATGTTTGTGTCCTCAGTTTCCCAGTGTGCCTCAGGTGTCTCCCGATCATTTACTCTTGCTGTCCTGTGAACAACATCGGCGTGGTATTACTTGTTTGCTGTTTTCACGATCGCGTCGCGGATGAGGATACCACCAGGTAAACTCGCCACATTTTAAACATTTTGTTGTTCAACAGCATCAAGACTGACGGAGTGTGTTTGAGACAACCTCACAAGAGTCACAGATGACACATTTGCCGTTTTTTTGCTGGTTTGTCGGTAGCAGCTCCTGAAACGCAAGACTACCACACATCTGTTCGACCAACGCCAGTTGATCTAAACGCCAGTAGATCTGAAACACCTGCACATCTGCATCTGGCGGGATGTAAACAGCGGCCAGGATGAATGAAGCAAACTCCCGCGGAGAATAAAACGGTTTGCAGTGCATGCGACCTTTATGCTCTGTAATGTGGTTTCTCTCGGTTGTCTGTGTGATGTGGTCACGTTCAGGTTTGAGAAATCCCGTTCAGCCCCTCTCTGTGCCCTGTGCAGACTCAGTGCTCCGGCCCGGCAGGTGGCGGTGTTCACCTGTCGGCTGGCAGCAGCAGAAGTAGAAGAAGAAGACGCTGCTGTTAGACAGTCCGCCATTTGCTGACCCTCGGATCCTCCGGTAGCTTCTTCTTCCCAACAAATCTGCTACAGCTACACCTTCACCTGAAGCGGTACCTGCGCGCGCGGCACAGCGGCGGTGATGGCGGCCGACCGGCGCGAGGACAAAGGTGAGTGAGGAGGACCTTTGTTAGCATTAGCATTAGCCACGAGCTGCCTTTGTTTGATGCCGCTCGGAGCGGATCGTTAATCGATAATAACTGTGATGATCGATACTGAGATATTGCCCTGCTGCTGACGGGCGCGTGACCATTTGATGTGTCGGTGCGTTAGCAGCTCGTGTTTGATCCATCACGACGCTGATGAGCGGCTCGCTTTCACTGCATCAGACTCCGATCAGAAAACTGCTGATTTTACGGCTGAGGCCGCTTTAAGCACGCCTGAGAACAGGTGGAACCGGAACCTAGTTCGTTTTGGGCCACAATAAGCTCTGACGTGTTCGGGGGTGAGGGGTCAATGATTTGGTCGATTTTAACGACACATCTGATCGCATAAAAGCGAACTAGGGAGACTGTTTACAGGTAAACAGGCTGGTACAGAGCTGCTGCCCTGTGATTGGCTGAGACGTGTGGCTAAATCCAGCAGTGATCAGAGGAGCGTAAACACGACGAGAGCGTTAACGAGTCAGCTTCCTCTGTTTACCTGCTAAAACACCATGGTAATTGATGTTAAATCCCTCATCTGGACAGGACCAGGCGATGTTCAGTTTCCTCTGATGCTTTTATGGGCAGCGGAGATTTTCTTTAAGCAACGTGTTCCTGAAAGCTGTGAACAAAGCTCCAGATTTATTTCTTATAAGTTTTTAATCACCATTTTATCATCATTATCTGATAATACCAACATTTGGAGCAGGGGACACTCACAGGGATTGTTTTGTGTTGATGAAGAGTCATGTAATGTGTGCACATACTCCAAACCTGAAGGAGAGAGCCTGGTTTAACAGAAAATGTTTATAACCACCTTAGTGATAGCTAAAGTCTTTGACTGGAGTTTTAGGTGGCTTAATAAAACCCAACTCGAAGAAAACCTGGATCTGAACTCTGTGTGAAGGGTTAAAAACAATAAACAATAAATTGCTTCTTCCTATTCAACTCCAATCGCTCAGTTTCCCATTCAGGCCAACTTTTCACCAAGTCAGCATTCTACTTGCATATCACGACACTGATGTTGATTATGTGTAAATATGTAGGTTACCCATAATCCTTCACTCTGTCTGTAACAGAGCCCAGCTGGTTTTTAGGGCCACTACAGATATGTTAGTGTAACATCGATGGGTCTCTCTAACATTCATGTGGAGTTAGTTAAGAGTCCTTTCCGACATGATATGTTTACAAACGTACTTTTATTGGGTCAACAAGTTGTGGACTACTTACTTTACATTGTGCCCGGCTGTGCCAAGATGAACTGATTGTTGCTTGTGGGCTCCAACAGGTATGCGGTTTCTCTAGGTTTACTTGTTAACTTTCATTCTTCAGATGTGAGAAATCAAATCTGATATATCAGCAGGTGTGTCACCCAGGCTTTGGTCTATAAACACCAACACAGACAGACAATAACAGAGTCCTCCTTCTGCCTAATCAGCCAGGTGTGCGTTACCTGTCCTTCTCACACGTGTGTGTGTGTGTCTGTGGTTTCAGATGGAGAGCTGAACGTTCTGGAAGATTTACTGACTGAAGCTCCTGATCAAGATGACGAGCTGTACAACCCCGAGACAGAGCGTGACATCAGCGACAAGAAAGGTACAGACAGTACTAAAGAGAATACTAAAGACAGTACCACAGACAGCACTACAAAGAATACTACAAACGGTACTACAGAGAATACCACAGACAGTTAAAGAAGATAGACAGTATTATAGAGAGTATTCTAAAGGTACTACTGTAGCTGGTACTACAGATGTTACTATAGCCTGTTAAACATACTGACACTACTAGACAGTATCACGAACATTCCTGACCTAAGTTATTAAAAACTGTGCATGTTATTAAGCTCTCATCGCTGTCTGTCAGGTACGAAGAGGAAGAGCGAGCGTTCTGACAGCCAGGATCTAAAGAGGCTCCGCTCCTCGTCAGGCCACGGTACTTCTAGGTCATCATCCTCCAATAAGAGAGCTCCAGGGCCATCTCTGTCCTCCTCTAAAAAGGCGTCGAGCCCTCGCGGCCGGCACTCCACCACTTACCGTCATGAGTATTATGATGAACGAAAGGGGAGACGTGGGGCCCGAGAGGTGACGAGGAGCCGTGGAGGAGAGGACGCAAGACGGCGAGAGTCCCAGAGAGGCCTGGAGGGTCTGAGTCAGGTACTGCTTACACTAAAAGTACAATTTTAACGGTTTCCAGCCATTCGTATTAACTTCCTGTTTGTCTTCAGAAGTTACGCCGTGATGAGCGGCGAGCAAGTCCCTCCCCCCATGAGGAGGAGAACCAATCAGAGGACGAGACAGGAGCAGAATACGGCTCAGAACAGGCATCGGGCAGCTCCTCCCCCGCTGCTTCCCATGTAGAGGAGGAAGAGGAAGATGACCAGGAGGAAGAGGAGGAAGAGGAGGAAGAAGGTATGGAAGAAGAAGAAGAGGAGGAGGAGGAGGAAGAGGAAGGAGAGAAGGAGGAGGAGGATGAGGAGGAAGAAGAAGAGTACGACCGTCGTGGTGGTGAGGGCAATGACTATGACACACGTAGCGAGGCTGGTGATTCACGCTCCGCCTCCTCTGTCAGCTTCTCTGATGATGGCGAGTCAGCACACTCAGGCTCTGCCTCCGAGGCCTCAGGTAACCATAGAGTTAGTAATGTACATTTTTCTTTTCAAGGAGAAAAAAAAAACGATGACATAATGTTTGAAATTACTGCTTTTAATTTGAAAGGTTCAGAAAAGAAGCGGGAGAAGCTGTCATCGTCGGTCCGTGCAGTTCGTAAAGGCATGGAGAGTAAGGACAATATTCCATGGTTACTTACCCGTTACTACACTTATACCTTTACTGAGTTGCAAGTAATCAGATTACAGCTATTTCCTGTGTTGTTGTAGATCCAACAAGCAAGCTGCGTTATATCCTGAGAGATGCCCGATTTTTCCTCATTAAGAGCAACAACCACGAGAATGTGTCGCTGGCCAAAGCTAAGGTACACGTTGACCCCCTCGCTGTTCCCCATTGTTCCCCTTTTCAATCCATGTCACCTCCCTCATGGTTCCAACTGTCATTTTCTGTTGTCACCCCTTCTCCTTGTGTTGTTCCCCTCATTGTTCCCTCTCTTTCCCGTGTCTTCCCCAGTGTATTTTGTGTCATTCCTTGTTGTTCCCCTCGATTTTCCCTCTGTCATTCTCTATCGTTCCTCAGGCGTTGACTGTGTTGTTCCTTGTGTTGTTCCCTGTCACCCCCCTGTGTTGTTCCCCGTTTTGTTCTGATAGCTGAGGATGATTTGGTGTTTCTGGCGTTTACAGGGTGTTTGGTCGACACTGCCGGTGAACGAGAAGAAGCTCAATGCTGCCTTCCGCTCAGCTAGGAGCGTCGTTCTCATCTTCTCTGTGAGGGAAAGTGGAAAATTCCAAGGTATGAGGAAAAGAGGTTTTCAGTATCGTATGTCGTTGTCTGTTCACCTTATTCACCTTATCCTCTTCTTAACTCTGATTGGTCTGTTTTGTCTTATCCTCAGGTTTCGCTCGTTTGGCGTCAGAGTCTCATCATGGTGGCTCTCCGATTCACTGGGTGCTCCCTGCTGGAATGAATGCCAAGATGCTGGGAGGAGTCTTTAAGATTGACTGGCTCTGCAGGTAAACAGCTCCATCCAGTAGGTTTATACTCTGTTTCTATTGGTTCCTGGTGAGTGTTTGACTTCTCCTAGACTGATCTCGGTCTCAGGTTCTGATTTTAAATTTTATGGACAAAATTTTATGGATGAACTGGAGGCAGAGGGTATTGAGGTTGATTCTGGGCTTTGACCAACAGATCGAGAATATTGGCTTTGAAAATAACTACCTGTGAAACGTGAAATCCCTGGCTGGCTGGCTGGCTGCTGTTTGGGGTGTGTCCATGTCTTAGGTCAGCTCTTTAGCTCAGCGGTCCCCAACCCCCGGGCCAAGTCATTTGGTACCGGGCCGCGTGTGAAATGTGTGAAATGTGTGAAATGTATGGCTCAGGTGTGAAATGTATGGTTTTCAGGGTTTTTATCGGTTTTTAGCGTTATTTGGTTATCGTTTTTATCGCTAACTCGGTTTTCCTGGGTCTTTTCACGTGTGTTATGAATAAATCTTCTTTTTTTTCGGTACCGGTACTAGTTTTATTTTGTTGTATTTATCCGCGACACCTTAAAGGCCGGTCCGTGAAAATATTGTCAGGCATAAACCGGTCCGTGGCGCAAAAAAGGTTGGAGACCGCTGCTTTAGCTTATACTTCCTGCAACCTGAAAGTAAGATGTACTCTAGAGTTGCTCCCCTGGTTTGATTTAGAGTGAAATCAGCGTGCACATCGCTTTTAATGCACCCCGTGTCGGCCAGTCGTTTGACTTCTACATAGATTCACTGAGCGATGTTTAGCTCCCCCCTCTTTCACGCCAGGAGTCGCCACAGCAGGCTGCTCTGTGTTTTTGCGTTGGTGGATTTTGGGGCTCTGCCTCATGACGTTTGCTGAAGGTGTGAACCTCTGGAGCCACCTCTGCATAGATGTAGTTCACGTGTTGTGTGATGGTTCACCGCTGATGCCCTTGCTTGCTGCTTGCTGGCTACTTCATTCAGTGTTGTCTTCTTTTTTATTTCCTTTTCAGGAGGGAGCTTCCTTTCATTAAGACCGCCCACCTCTCCAACCCCTGGAACGAACACAAGCCGGTGAAAATTGGACGTGACGGCCAGGTCAGCTGACTGTTCTATTACGAATCACGTTTTCCTGTTCTATCACATGATGCAAATCTGTGTCTCTTTCAGGAGATCCAGCCGGACATTGGTGCTCAGCTCTGTGCCCTGTTTCCATTGGATGAGAACGTGGACATTCACCAGGTGGCTCGCCGCATTCGTCACAAACGTCGCACACCATCGGAGCCGCGGCCTCGGGGCCGACCACCACAACGTGAACCGGGAAGGTTAGCCAATCATCAAGCTCCTCCTCCCGCTTCCTGTTCTTCTTCTTCTGCTGTGACCACGGCGCCACCTGATGCTGGACGACGGAGACAGCCGCTGCCCTTAGCTGGCGGCTAGCTTTCCCGTGGCTCGCGTTGCTGGCTCTCTGGTTGTTATTTTTCCAGTCTGGAGCTTCCCGGAGCGAAGCCTCACTCTGCATCTTTGGTCGAGGTGTTAAAGTCAGGCAGGAAGTGAAGTCCTCGACAAGCGTTAAACAGCTGACGTCACAGAGGAAGTTTAACCCTTCACTTGAGTTTCATTTCCTTTGAAGTGTGAGCTGAGCAACATCTCTTTGTTTTATTTTGTAATTTTTAGCTGAATTTTGTTTTGTTTTTTTAGGTCTGTAGTCTTTACGTAGCTGAGCTGAAGTTTTGTTGTTGTTAAATTTGTCCTTTGAAGCTCTTTGTCTTCGCAGGATTTTGATACTTCAGAGGTTAAAAAGTGAAAATTTGTAGCTGGACTGAAGCTGACCCTTTCAAAATAAAAGCAGAAAGGACAAGCGTCACTGGCTGGACTGACGAAGGAGGGGGTGGGAGGGTGAGCGAGGTAGAACTAAAAAAGGAAGGGAGCATCTGAGACCCCAATGGACTGTTTCAGGTGTTTGACCGGGTTTTACAGGTTGGTCAGGAGGGGGCGGGGCCTCTGGACTGTATCCACTGAGGTGTGGTGAGTCTAAAGGGGAGGGGCCTCAGGACTGTATCCAGTAAGGTTGTGTGTTGTGGCAAGGCCTCTGGACTGTATCCAACGAGAAGTGTGGTGTGTTGGGGGCGGGGCTCCCTCTGGTTGTATGAGGTAAAGTTGCAGGTGCCTAAAAGACTGAAAAAAGAAAAAAAAAATACCCCTGGACTGAAAAAAGTGACCCCTCCCCCACATGAAAGGACAGTCATGTTCCCCTCTTCCTCCCCTCTCCTCCCACTGGCACACACACACAGGACGGCGAGCTGGTTGTCGATGTGTGTGTGTGTGTGTGTGTCGCTCTGATGGACGAATACAGTGAGCATAAAATTAATCGAATGGACGGAGCGACAGAAAGACGACGCAGTTTGTCATTTCTGTTTAAGGACTGTTGCTGGTCTGGAAGGGGCTGGGCAGGGCTCACGGGGCGGGGCTTTGTGTATTGATTGACAGGACTGCACCATCATCATCATCACCCCTCACCTTTTCAAAATAAGAGGGTTTATAAAAGCCTTTAACATGGACTGATGAGGAGAAAAACTGTTTTTTTTTTTTTAAAGTGTTGCCCCTCCCTCATACGCAGCAGAAGCGGTATGTTGTCCCTTTCAGAGGTTCTTCTTCATTTGTTCTTTTTTTTTTTTTTTTTTTTATATTGTGTGTGTGTGTGAGAGAGAGAGAGAGAGAGAGGAGGACTTTGGCAGGCTGCAGGATTCTGTTTTCATCCTTCAGAGTGAAACTTTTAAAACAGGAGATTCTGTGTGGACATCAGTTGATTTAAAAATAAGCCAAAACAAATTTGGAACAGCACTGGAATAGGCCCAGAGCACAATGAGAATAGGATCAGTATATGGTTGGAACTGGATCAGAACAGGGCCTAAAAAGGACCAGAGTAGGGCAGGAACAGCACCTTAATTCAGCCAGAATGGGAATGGAACATGATCTGAACAGGGCTAGAATAGGACCAGGACAGGATTGAAACATGTTCATAATAGGACTGGAATAGGATCAGAACAGGATTTGAACAGGGTCTTTATCAGCGTCTGACTTTCTTGCGTTTAAACATCATGTTACAGACAAAGCTGTTTCCACGCACAAATTGAAGGTGTCACCTGGTGTAAATGTCCAAATCAGTCTGTCTTTATCCTCAAAGCTTTCTGTTACTAGACCTGTGTGATATCTGATTCGTCCAGGTAAGCGTCAGGTGAAGTCACAGGTGAAGTCACTGGTGAAGTCACAGGTGAAGTCACAGGTGAAGTCACAGGTGAAGTCACAGGTGAAGTCACAGGTGAAGTCACAGGTGAAGTCACAGGTGAACCGCACAAAGCGGCTGATTGTGTTGCAGTTCGAGTTTGTGTGTGAAAACGGATTTGGGTGAGGGTGGGGGATTTCTTCTTGTGTTGGAGTCTGATCTGAGGAAGTATCCGGTTTGTATTGGTGTGTGTGTGTGTGTGTGTGTGTGTGTGTGTGTGTGTGTGTGTGTGTGTGTGTGTGTGTGTGTGTGTGTGATGGAGTGTACCTGAGTGCATGTGTGTGTCTTACCTGTGGACTTGTTTATGTAGGCGTCGACCTGAAGAGTATGACCTCCACGGCAGGAAGCGACTGCGACCTGACGGTCCACCAGACTTCAGCCAGCGAGCAGGTTAATGTGCAGCTTCCATTTAAACAGCCGACTAAGACCCAGATTTTCAGGTGCAGGTGTCGAACACACCTGTTACCTGAATATTTGCCATTCACTGTCACCTCAACCGAACTTTATGTGTCGTGCTTTTAGGGTTCATCCAGGACCTGAGGAGCCAGCCAGTGGACAGGTGAGACACACCTGGAATCGGGTTTCTTCTGTATTCCTCTTAGACCCTGAGTTGATGTAATCAGACTGATATTAGAAACTTCATCACATCTTCAAATGTCTTTGACCAGACATCCAGAACAAACGCTGCACTGTTCCTCCTGAATCTGAGTTTCAGCTGACAGCAGACTCTCCTGTACCCAGTCTTAGACCTTCCAGGTATATCCCCAGCTGTGATCCTTCTGGTTCACCTTATTACAAAGGGGATCATCACCAAAGTCTGTCAGTCCAGAGTTACTGGTGGGTATTTCAACCAAGACTGGCGCATGACGTGCAAGAACTGGGGACACATCCAGGAAGTCTTTTAGCTACTGTGATGGGCAAGTCATGCACCTGATCTTCAGACTCTGCTTCCTCTCTGGAATGGTTTGCAGAGGAATTTAGGAGATCCTCAGAGGTGTTCCTCCAACTCCAACTATACGTCCAGAGTCTAGCAAGCTCAAAAGGACTCTATTCAGCTCGATAGCTCCTCTGTTGTTCACCATATGGTTAAAGGGTTACCAGACGACAGGTACCAACCACTTTACAGCCACAACTCCATGCATCTGATCCAACTCTCCATCAGGTGGTGATCCGTTCACACCTCAGCTCCTCTCCTCACCTGAGGCCTTAGATCTGGTGATACAATTACAAAATTATGAACACCCTTAAGTTCAAACATGGTGTTCGTTATAGACGAACCAATAACAAAACACCACTCAGGTTCAGGACGAGCAGGTCATTCTTCCCAATCGTGCCAGATCGAGGTGACATTGTTGCCCTTGGCAGAATTAAAGTGGAGCTCCTAGATGTTTCTTGGGGTGAGGTGCTGCTCTGTGCTCAGTCACGGAAACAACTCTAGTCCATGAAGGAACCCCTAAACATCCAGGTGCCAAACTCCAGTTCCAGAAGCTGAGCTGGCTTCTCAGCCTCACGTGCTTGCTCAGATTCCTTCCATACCACAAGTGTGACGTCCTCCATTCCTGTTGCCGGTATGGGCTGCTGGGACCAGACTGTTGAGGTCTGCCCCTGTGGTTGGCGCCCAACTGCCACGGCAGGTGGTCTATACCCAACCATCACACCCAGGCAGACCCACAGGACCGCATCCACACTAAACTCTGCCACCTGCAAGTCCCTTCATATATTGATCAGAAACTCCTCCACCATGATAAAGTGAAGATTCAAAGGATCTAAACTTTCGTCTTGAATTTAAAAAAAAATAAAAAATAAAATTTGAAAGTCTGAATTTCTCATGAATCTGTTCTCTTTCCAGGCGATTTTCTGGCGTAAGACGAGACGTGTTTCTTAATGGGGTGGGTCCAAACGTTTCACTTCATTGATTACTTATCACTTCACTGATTGTTTATTGATTAGTCTGATTAGTATTGATTAGAGGTGTGGGTGAACATAAATAAAACTGTAAATGATTCAGTCTTTCCATTAAAAACAGCCCGTAATCATCACAAATATCACATGCAGATCATTGGATTTCAGACAGGAAGGGGTTTTCTTGTGTTTAGCTGTGTCCTTACCTGTGTTCACCTTTGTCCTTCTTGTTTCAGTCCTATAACGAGTATATGAGGGATTACCACCACAGTGTCGGCCCCCCAGCGCCCTGGCAGACTCTGGTATGAATAGGTTATTAATCACGTTCTGATCGATTGTTCCTGCCTGTGACGGATGATGAAAACATGCATTTTACCTGGAAGCAGGAAACTGTTTTTGTGTTTTAAGATGTTGCATGAGAATTTTCAGATTAAAAGCCTTTATTAAAGTCGCTACAGACTGATCTAATGATGATGCCACGTGTGTCATCAGGCGGGCTATCCCGGCGTGGAGCAGCCACCCCCACACCATCCACCCTACTACCACCACAGCCACCCACCGCCTCCCCCTCACCAGGCCTACCACCATCATCACCACCCACCCCTGCCACCACACGAGGCCCCGCCCCCTCGCTTCAGAGATAAGCAACGAGCACCACAGCACCGCGCCTTCACGTCCAGCCCAGTAAGTTCACTCAGTCCAATCAGGCGTATTGATTAGTGATCAGCACAGCCTCTTACTGTTTTTTTGTTTTTGTTTTTGTTCACCCTCCTCCATCATACAGCACGACTATGACATGCGAGTGGACGACTTCCTGCGGCGGACGCAGGCAGTGGTGAGCAGCCGGCGGGAGCGAGAGCGTCAGCGTGAGCGTGAGCGAGGTGGCCCGCGCCGTGACAGAGAGCGAGAGCGAGTGAGGGATAGAGACAGAGAAAGAGAAAGGGACAAGGAGAGGGGGCGGTACCGCAGGTGATCTGATGACATCACTTCTTGGCAGCCTGCACTGCTTTTTTTTTTTTTTTTTCTTTTTCTTTGGCAGCCCGCACTGCTTTTTGACTGGTTTGCTGTTTTTGTTGAAAATTATGAATTAAAAACAAACAAACTGAGTGATGACATCATCAGTTTTATGTGAATAAAGTGAAAACTTGTACAAAGAAATATTTGGTCAAAACTTTTATTTTGGCAGCCTGTGTGTGACTCCTGGTGCAGTGCCAGACTTCCCACAATCCTCTGTGTTCATTTTTTTTTTTATGTTTTGAGAGTCTGGTGATGCCCAACGTGAGGGTGGAAGCAATCTAGACCCAGTACTCAGATCTAAGATGTCATAAGATAATGGAAGAAACTTTTATTATGAACATGTTTCTGTAACAATTTCTCATTTTATTCTGAAAAGTAGTGCAGTGTTTCCTGTTAAAGCTTTCAAATTAAATGTTTTTAAGTATGAAACTCATCCCGTTTCCCTGTTTTCTTCACTTCCTGTTTGGGGAGTTAGGACGCACTAAGTGGGGCTCCCTGCACATCCACGTAACGCTTCATATTCCTGCTTCCTCCCAGGAAGAGCTGCACAGTGATGACTGTAGGTGACCATCATCATCATCATCATCATCTGGTCCAGTCTGTAGTCTCCATGATAGTAGTTGTGTGCATTTATGCAGTTTTAGCAGTAGTTAAGTCTCCAAGTGAAATATTAGCTGTTAGCCACAATAATTAAAGATGAATTGTTCTTCAGATGAACTAAAGTTTGGTCCGGGTGTATATTCAGGTGAGGATACCTGCCTCAGAGAGTAGTTTTGATACGTCACAGTGGGCGACCAAGGGGCAAGAACTGGAGCACCATTTTCGGGATCACCATTTTAAGATCATCCAAATTGGCTGCAGGACATGCAGCGTGTGGATAAAGCATCAAACTGAGACCTTCTTCACCTTGTGGTAGTCAACACAACCGTGTAGACTAAAGATGTTCCTGGACTAATGTCTTAGTCGACTAACCATGGAAATTTTTTTTCGACTAATCGACTGGTCTAGCACTAAGAAACACTCAGATATGAAGTTACATTTGAGAACTGTTTAATGGAAGCTGACAACAACAAAGCTGTTTTAAACCATTAATCCCATTCTTAAATAATGAACCATGATGCTTAACTGTGCAGCATCTTAATGTGCATTAGCAACATTACATGTTATACTCCAGACAGCGAGGCAGAAAAACACTTAAAATAAAATGATGTTAAATATGATATGAAAACATGTTACGACAAAAGTTAACGTGTTATTAAAATGTAACAAATGAACATCCGAAAAACTGCAACTGAAGAGTGCGACGTGCATTATGAACGATGAACGCTGTTCACCCACCCACTTCTATAAAGGTTAAAATCTAAAATAAAACAGTAAATCATTTAGTTGTTTTCTTCTGCTAATCTGAAGTGCAATCTCTCCAGCATGTCCCGGGTCTACACTTGGGGGACTCCTCCCAGGAGAACCTTACCCAGGAGGCGACAGTCTTAGATGTCTCCTTGTGATGTGGAGGAGCAGTGGTTCTACTGTGAACTCCTCCCAAATGACTGAACTCCTCACCCTATCACGAAGGCACCGTCCACCTTTTGGAGAAAGCTTTCCACCACTTGTATCTGAAATCTCATTCTGATAGAGTAAACTTACATTTATGTTTTATCTGCCCAAATATGTAATGCAGAATAGAGTGTTGAGAAAAAAAAATGCCACACTTATATCACACATTCCAATGGTAGAGATTTACACAATAGAGCTTGGAAGCAGGCTGGTGCACACTGACACCACTACCCAGAAAACAACTATGTAAATAATGGAGCTAGGGAGAGCTCTCTCTCTCTCTTTACTTCTATAGGCCTGACCGGAGGAGGAGAGGTGGTTGCCATGGTGATGTGGGAAGAGTCATTGCCTGTTACAAAGAGATGTCCAATAGGTGCAAGATATGAAATGTGAGCCAGATACTAGACTCAAACCAGATAAGGAGACCCAACTCTAAATCCCAGACTTTTTAACCAATCACAGTAACATGCTTACTGCTTTCGTGTGTCATCCTTTGTCTCTCTGAGTCCTGAAAGGCAGAGGTCCATGGCTCTATGTAATCATTTAACAATTAATTTTTAAAAGTCATAATTTGAGCATTTTTTTCTCTCAAGAAAATAGAACACGACAATACATCCATCCACACACCAATAAACATAAAATTTAGAAAACAAAATGTACCAGGAATTACTGCTGAGAGCACAATGAATTTGTGATTGGAAGCCAAGGCGTCAGAGGGGTTTGTAACACTACAAATAAAAATATAATTCACATGCCTCCTTTTGTCGTTCAGTGCGTGAAGTACACTGAACGGATTGTCTCGGAAAACCCCTGCAGAAAGTGAACTCATCTTTCATTGTAGCTGTTCACAGTCACACCTTTGACACAGCTTTGTGACCACAGCCACAAATTCATGGCAGATGGCAGACTGAATAAGAGGCATCACTCTACACTGATGAGACAGTTTGGTTTATTAGAAAATATAATAGAGAAGCTGCATTTGAGGACATCTCCTCTGAAGCAGAGAATACAGTGCAGTCATGTGTTCTTAAAATGAAAGAAGAACCAAACTGTGGAGTATGTCTGCATTTGTTCTTTTGGATGGTTAAAACCTCCAAACCTATTTATATATTACTCCAAAAATGTCAAATCTCTCTTCAGTCCTTCTTCTCTCTTCCTGCTCGCCGTCTGCACTGCCGCAGGATGCAGCGTATCCCCACCCACCACAAAGCAGCGACGGTCATCAAAGCGACCAGCAGGGCAGCACCGGTGTCCAAGCTGTGGTACTGGAACCAGTTCAGGTCGTATGATGCCAACCGCAGATGCTTAGCTCCACCGTGTCGCATCACAAACTCCACCCAGAAGACGGCGGTACTCAGTGGCGTTACTGGCTGGTCGCGGTGCACCGCTGACAGATGCTGCATGTTGGTCCTGTAGCTGTGAATGGTGAACAAACAGGAAGTCATATGACAGTTTCACTGTTAAACAGTAGTGCACTTTTACTGTGAAGGAATCAGGTCAAAGACAGGAAATAAAATGTTATTAAACAGGTCCAAATGTACAAAGATGAAACTATTAACAGGAAATATACAAACACAATTCCACACTAAAATCACCTTTACCTTGGCTGGTTTGTAACAACGTGCAGCGCCTCTGCCAGCTCCTCAGCTGTCAGATGGTTGAAGTCCAGGACGATGGCGGTGCCGAGGCGGCTCATACGGGCGAGATTATCAGGCTGATCACCAAACAGCGGCAAGCCCACCAGAGGCACGCCGTGAAACACAGCTTCATACAGACCGTTAGTGCCGCCGTGTGTCACGAATGCCTTTGTCTTTGGGTGACCTGAGGACAAACAAATGCAGAGCTTTTATTGTGAAAGAACATCACAATCCACCTGAGGAAGTTAAAAAAAAAAAAAAAGAGGCCTCATTGGGCTTTTGTTTCAAAATCCCATGACATCATGAATGAGTCATACCCAGCAGGTCGTTCTGAGGGATCCAATCAGAAATCTTTGTGTTTGGCGCCAATGCAGTTGGAGCCTCGCCACGGTAACGCCAAATCACCTGAAAGGAAGAAAACACTCTTCAAGTCAAAGATGAAACAAACCATCTGAGCTTCTTCTGCCCGCAGGTATTTTTTTTGATGATTATTGCAGAAAGTAATCAATGATGCAATCAATATCTGCTGACAGCCCAGTCCCTGATTGTTTGTCTGTGAGTAGGTGGAGCTTCTGACCTTCTGTGGGATCTGACCGAAGCCGGTGGCGATGATGTTAGCGTGCTGCATCGTCAGGTTGGTTACCATGGAGCCGAAGGAAGCCACAATTATGCCGGCATCACCTGAACTCTGCACAAATGCCTCCAGGTCCTGGAAGATGTGACATCATCATTACATCAACACTCACCTGTCCCATTTCAGAATAAAAGTGTGTGCAATCAGAGCTCACACCTCTGGCAGCTGATTGGCCGGTTTGCAGTGTAGACCGCCCACGTATTTGAAGTTTGGTGGGGTCGGCCGTGGCGTCTCAATGTCCCAGAACGTCCTGATGAGCCACACGTCGGCCTTCCCCATAGTCTCACACACACTGCTGGGAGTTCCTGTCCATACAGGAAAGAAGGGATATGACTTCAAAATAAAAGTTTGTACAGGTCCATAGTTATTTGGACAAGGATGGTTTCTATAATTCTGCATCTGTGCACCAATATAACGGACTTTACATCAAACCATCGAGATGTGACTAAGTACAGTCTTCCAGCTTTAATTCAGGGTTTAACTTCAGTCTAACATTAACAGTTCATGAATTACAGACATTTTTTTACACAGTCCCTCATTCTCAGAGGATCTAAAAATAACGTTACAAACAAATTTAATTTTACATCAAAGGACAGTTCTCACTACTTGATGAAAATCCTTTGACTGATGAAGAACCCACAGATCAAATGCTGTCTCTTCCTCCAGCTGCTGCTGGTTTCTGCTCTCTGCCTTCAGTTTTGTACTTGAATTCTGAAATGTTGCTCTGCTGGTCTGAGATCAGCTGACTGACTCAGTCATTAAAGAGTATCTTTGGGTTGTTTTGCAGTTTGCTTTGGCTCATCATTGTCTGCTCTGTGAAGCTCAGTGTGATCAGTTCTACAGCATCAATGTGAATGTGAGTAGAGAGTAAGACTGTCATTGTGCTGGTTTTCATCTTTGATTTGTTTTCATACCTAATTACTAAGAGAAAGATCACGTGTGATCTCATTAGGATAGGGGTTTGTGTTGGTGTGTGGGGCTGTAGCCTGTAGGTTTATATTGTTAAATGCTGATTATGAGACAGTGTGTTTCAAATCCTTTTACAGAGTAACATGAAAGTAACATAACGAGAATGTCTTTCTCCTGGGTGTAATTAAGTAATGTACTGCATTACTTTTAGGAAAAGTGTTCTGTAAGGGGAAATACCTCCAACATGCACAAACATGTGACCCACAGCATGTAATTAATTTGCATGAATGTAATGTCTTTGATATGCTGCTTAGAGATGGTGGTGACTCTCAAAGTGGAGTCAGTGGGAATCTGATTAACTGTATTCCGTTACAGTTACCGTTTAAAAAGGTGGTATTCAGAATACAGTTACTTTGTTGAAATAAATGGATTACACTGCGGTACTTTCCTGTTTCATATTGTCGCGGGTCAGGACTGTTTGGGTTTTGTTTGACAGCTACGTTCTGTTGTTCCAGGCGGCAGCGTTACGGTTGCCATGGTTACAGGGCGACGCCTCTCTCTGCGACTGTGTGTTTCCTGGGTGAGAGAGCGCCTTTTTGTTGTTGTTGTTGTTGTGCTAAGCTAATCAGGCAGAATGCTACAGCATAGCTCTAAAGAATGTAGCATCATGGGCAGTGTAGTCCGTGTTGCAGGGAGAATGGACTGCCATACACGTAATGGGTCTGTGAGCGCGAGGAGGGAGAAAAAGGAGGAGTGGAAAAGTACTAAGTTGTCATGAGCAAAAAGGAGCTGGAAGCATGTAAATATAATAATAACCACTGCAGCCAAGAAGAGTGCCTGACGAGCCCAGTTGTAAGTACGCTATTAAGACTCGACTGTACACCGTGTTTCGTGTTTTCCTCCAAAACAATAAGTTCCGTTGGAGCAGTCTTTCAACGCCTCTCTCTGTCTCTTGCAAGCAAAGTTGACCCACACACCAAAGTAAAGCTATTTTTCGGCTACGAGCCCGATACGGAACCCGCTGTATTAGTCAGAGGTCCCTTTACTACAGTTCGGAGCCGCGGACCTTCAGTAATAGTAATAAATCACACAGCAATAGTACATTAACGTAGTTGTAAAAAGCATGATAATATATTAAGTAATCCAAAGTATTCAGAATACGATACTGTCATTGAGTAACGTAACGGAATACATTACAGAATACATTTTGGGGCATGTATTCTGTAATCTGTAATGGAATACATTTTAAAAGTAACCTTCCCAACACTGGTGTTCATGACTCCACCATAAAAAAGACTGGGCAAAAATGGCCTGCATGGCGGAGTTCCAAGACGAAAACCACTGCAGTGCAAAAGGAACACAAAGGCTTGTGTCAGTTTTGGCAGAAAATATCTTGATGATCCTCCAGAGTTTGGGACAATACTCTGTGAACTGATGGGACAAAAGTTTAACTTTTTGAAAAGTGTGTGTCCCAGTACATCTGACGTAAAAGTAACATGGCCTGTATTTGTATAGCGCTTTACTTAGTCCCTAAGGACTTTGAAGTGGTCCAGTCAAGGTCCTGACCTGAATCCAATTGAGATGCTGTGGCATGACCTTACAAAGGTGGTTCATACTTGAAAACCCTCCAATTTGGTTGAAATACAACAACTCTGGAAAGATGAGTGGACCAAAGTTCCTTCAAAGCACTGTAAAAAATTCATTGCCAGTTACTGCAAATGCAACCTGCTGCCCAAATGCAAAGAGAGCCCCGACCAGTTATTAGGTAATCTGGCAATCACATTTTCACACAGGGACATGTAGGTTTGGATTTTTCCCCCTTCATAGAAAACACCTTCATTTAGAAACGGCATTTTGTGTTTCCTTGTGTTATCTTTGTCTAATATTTCAATTTGTTTGATGATCTGAAACATTTAAGAGTGACACACATACAAAAAAATAGTAAATCAGGAGGGGGACAAACACTTTTTCCCACCACTGTGTATCAGATAATGACATCATTATGAAAGGATGTGACCTCTGACCTTTGATCTCACTATAGTATTTATTCACAGACAGCTTCCAGGCAAGTTCAGTTAGCGTGGATGACGCCACATATGTCACCATGTTGATCAGTCTCTCCACGAACGTCATGCGGTCGTTGTATGGAAGAGGAGCTAATGGAACATAAGATGGTGGCAACGGGGCGTGGCCACAGTGTCGCTCCATAACACTGCCAAAGCTGAAGCGCAGCGAGAGGATGAGTGGCACGCCGAGCATGTCAGCCACCAGGTCGCCACACATTGCAAGGGGGTCTTGTAGGATAACATCGAAAGCACTGTCCTGCAGAGTCGCCATCAGCTGCTGGTTCTTCAGCACCCCATCACACTGCTGCCTCCCAAAGTCCAGGGTGCGGCCCATGAAATCGTTCATCTTCATGATCTTTTGCAGCGGTGAAGAGGTGTGTGACTCGTACATAGAGAACTGGATGAATTCGTGCATGGTGCCCACATATTCCTCCCTGCTATATGACACCTGCAAGTGAAAAAACACCTGATCAAGTTTATTGTTTAGTTACCGCCCAGTAATGGTGTGTAAACTGTCAGCCTGGAGATTAAAGACAAGATAAAGTAAGTCATGAAACATGGAATAAAAGCCTCATGCAATTGGTGTTTATGAAGATATACTGTGTTTGGCTTTGTGCATTATGAACAAACATCTCCACTTTGGCCTTTTCTGTCCAAAGGACCTTAATCCAGTGTCATGGTCTTGGGCCTGTTGCCCAGTGGTCGGTGTATTTTGGGTTTTCAAATTAGGCTCAAACATCTTTAGAATTTTTCTTAAGTTTAGATTTCATGTATTAGTCTACAACTTCTGTTATATCCTTTGTTGGTTGATTTTGGTATTTGTAGTAATCTTTTATTTTGAGTCCAACTAGTTTTTGCTCCTTTCTTGCTTATAGTAGTTTGCATTGTATTCCTGTTTTAGTTTATTTGTTTTGCCTCTCTCTGTGTTCCCTTAGTATTTTGCCCTCCTCTGTCAAGTTGCTTGTATTAATTTCATTAAGGTGATTGTGTTTTCTCTGTTTAATTATTACTTCCTGTTTTACTTTGAGAGAATTTGTGCTCCTTGTGCTTTGCTTTTAGTTTTGCTTCCTTTGTCTCGTCTGCTCTGATTTGGTTCACCTGTGTCTTGTTCTCCACTTCCCCTAATCACCCACCTGTGTGCATATTGTCTCACTCTCCTTTTTTCAGAGTGTCAGTTCATCTCCCCTTCTTGTCTCTCAGCTCCAGTCGCTCCTAGTCCAAGTATTATTTCCCAGTTTACGGCTTTGAGTTTCATTTTGTGTTTTATATTCCACATTGTATTTTCCCTGCAGCAAAATGGCTCATTGTGAGTTTACCACAGCCTGCCTTACATGTCTGCATTTGGTTCCTCACACATCTCGCACTTTGCAATCTTGAACGTATACTCTAACCATAAAACAGCCCCCGCAGATGCTATTCCAGAGGAGTTTGGAGAAAAGGTGGAAAGATTATTCAGGATTGCATTCACAAGTCCTTTGATTTAAAGATTCTATCAGTCGGGCTAAGAGGCATTGACGCCATCCTCAGGGACAACCCATGATTACTTCAGTTGCCTAGGATTTCTAAACACATTCTTGGTTTCCACAAGAGAATTGATACGAGTCCCCTCACTGGCTCTGCATCGTCACTATTTCCACAGACTGGTTTTTCCTCACCTGGCCCTGCATCCTTTTTGGCAAGCCAGTGGTCAGAGGATGAGGAACCTTTCCCAGATCATCCTGCATCTGTGGTCAAGAAAGAACACTGCACTTGCCACACCACTTCCTTTCCACTGTAAGACTGCTCTTCTGCCTTGATGCCACTACTCAGCTTTCCAAATGCACCACTGAAAGACACAGGAAATCATTCCTGCCCGTGGCCATCGCTTGTACAACTCCCTTTTTTTTCTGCTCTTGCTCTTGACGAAGGCGGTCGCACTTTGCTCCTCTCCTCCTCTCCCTTAGCTTCCCTGCTTAGCCTCTTGTGTCCTTGTCTAGTCTCGTGTTTTTTGTATTACTTTTCCCGGGAACACTCTCTCACAGTCTGTTTTTTAAAACCTAAAAGAGGAATTATGGATTTGATCAACTGGTCCCTAAATGCAATTGACACCCCTTTCTCAACGAGAAGTTTGGGCTCGGGTGAGCCTGAGTGCTGAAGATATCTACCTATTCGGAACCATGGTAACAGGGTTCTTGCTGAGCTGGCTTGGCCCTGGCTTATCGAAGAATTAAGGAAGTAGAACCGGCTGTTCAAATCCCCACAAGGCTGCCGGCTGGGATTGAAACGATGGGAAGAGGTGTGAGTTTCTCAAAATGGGCTCATTGAGTGCAGCACAGATAAGATCTTGGAGAGGCTACGGCTGTCGTGAATACTCAGAATAAGACTGCAGACTGGATTACATCTTGGAAGGGCTCGCTCGGAATAACATCTCTGAGTGCAAATTGGATTACATTTTGGGGAGGCTCACTGCGGTCGTGAGTTCACAGAATCGGCTCTTTGAGCACAAGAATGACAACATCACAGAGCGCAAGTTTGATAACATCATGGCGAAGCTCGCGGCTCTCCAACGGGAGATTGAGAGACCAGTGTTGGACTGTAGAACTGCTTTGATATTCATATGAGCTGTTCGCACTAAAGTTAAAAGTTAAAAGCACCATCACTTCATGCGGATACCCTTTTGGCGCCAGCTGCGGTCTCAAGGCTGGAGCCGAACAAAAACACCCTGATAATGACTGTGTCTAGTCTGTTCCTTCCCATTCCCTACAAGGCCACCTGGGTTGGCTGGAAGACTGTTTACTTAGCCTAGCAGGGCGAAGGACACTGTCTCAGCTGAACTCTGGACACGCACACACATACATATACACTGATACACACTCATCCCCCCTCCCTTTCCAAACACCTTCAATGCTTGTTCCCTCCTGGGAACATGGCGGGTCTGAGTTTCTCTGATTCTGATTGCTGGAAACCCAAACAAAACACGCAATAAGAGGCTCTAATGTAAGTGTCCTGTTAATGTTGGTGGCGTCAGTTACACAATGGACCCAGAGCCAGCACAGCAGAGCCAGCAGTGCAGAGGCAGGAATGCATTTCTTAGTTGGACACCACTTCATAAGAAGAATGGGATGGGCGAAACTTCAGCATCTTCAATATACTATTGTTGTGTGATTTTTATTACTATTAATGAAGGCTAATGACGGCCATCAAGCTAGCATTGTTAGCTGGTGTTAGTTGAGGTTAATTCATAGACTGCAGACTGTTAGGCCGTTTCTAAATACTCAAGTACGCGAGTCCGTAATCACGTTTTTGCTAGTCCGGACTTCACAGTTCATACGGGAGTCTGGACTTTCCGAGAACGCAGCGTGATCGTTCTACAATTGGAACGGTGGTGTACTTGATGACACCACAGCTCGTGAGTTTTTATTGACATCCCCTCTTAATTTAACTGTGATTAATATTTGCAATATAAATGACACATGACATTAAAAAGAAAAAAAATACACATGATGTAATAGATTTCTTTAAGAAAAAAAAAAAACATAGCCTAATTTTAAAAAGTATCTTAAGCACTTTGGCAAAATTCACTTTTATGTATCATCTGTTTCATAATGTCTAATAAGCTTCATACAGTTAAGCACAATCACTTCCACAGGTGAAGACGCTGAAGCTGGACCAGGCGAGGATGAAGACGCTGAAGCTGGACCAGGCGAGGATGAAGACTCTGCAGGTTCCGCAGGCTGGATGGCTCCCTCAGACCCTCCAGCGGAGACTATTACAAAGCCAGCAGGCATGGAGTCCTCTGGCAGACATGAAGGCAATGGGTGCTGTGCTGAGCACTGGCTCTGCCCAGACAGCGCTGACACGGAGTAGTTCTCTGGGGGCTGCTTAACCTTCAGGGGTCCAGAATCAGCTGGGGACTGAAACCTAGCCTCTGGGGAGGCCCTGGAGTGCAAAACTGTGCCCAAAGCAGCTAAAGTGCGAGAAACACCCTGGGTGGAAATTTGATTTTCTCCCTGCATGGAGTGAATGAGTGACACTGGAGACAGAAAGAGTGATGGAGCTAGCGGGGACACTGGAGCCTGGGCTACGGCAGACACTGGCGACACAGGAGACTGAGCTGAAGGTGGCTGCTGGGCAGTTAACTGAGCTTATGGCTGGGCAGCTAAACGATCTTGAGGGTGGGCAGCTAGCTGAGCCGAAGGCTGCTGAGCAGGTGAATAGCTGTTCACTTTCGTATCTGCCACACAAAACATAGCCCCGGAGTAAACAGTTCCACAGTCCAAAACAGGAAAAGAGTCCTCACTCACCAGAGCCGGCGATTCAGAAGTCTGAACGTCCGGCTGTGGGTGGCGCGCCAGCGGCACGATTGTCGTTTCCTCGCCACAGACAGCTCCGACAGGCCGGGCAAAACCACATCCAGCGGGTCGGGCAGCGAGGCAGTAGTGGCTGAGAGAAGGTGTGGTGTGTTGTGGCGAAAGGCCTGCATGGGGAAGCGATTCCAATAGCCATGGCAGGCCGGAAAAGAGCCGTTGTAGCTGGCTTTCAACGACGCAGCGAAGCTCTTTCGGAGGGTTTCCCCAGCCACAGCCTGAGGAGCATCTCCACATTGTAGGTAATGTCGTCCCGGAGCTCCTCGGACGGGTTTAATGCCGCTGGGTCCATGGTGGCTGGCTCGTACTGTCACGGGTTGCCGAGGCAAGCCGTGTGTGAATCATTTAGGACCCAAGATGCGGCAGCTCTGGTGCAAGTGAGTTTATTTAGCAAAAGTAGATACAAACAGAGATGGTGAGGGTGAGCTTAAAACTAAGAAAACCTCAACTGGGAACAACTAAGGAAAAACAAACCTGAAATCTTGAGACAAGAAACCGAGATGCAGGGAGACGCCGAGAACATAGGATCCTTAGCTTCCTGTCTGACAGACGCCAGGTGGTCAGACTGGGCAGCATCACCTCATCCCCCATCACACTGAAAACTGGTGCTCCACAGGGGTGTGTACTGAGCCCTCTCCTGTACTCACTCTACACCTACGACTGCACAGCCACTAACAACTCCAACATCATTGTGAAGTTTGCGGACGACACTACAGTGGTGGGTCTTATCACCAACGGTGATGAGACGGCTTACAGGGAGGAGGTCAGCGCCCTGACCCACTGGTGTCAAGACAACCATCTCACCCTCAACGTCGCAAAGACAAAGGAGTTGATAGTGGACTTCCGGAGGTGCAGAGAAGTACACACCCCCATCACCATCAACGGCGCTGCTGTGGAGAGAGTGAGCAGCTTCCGGTTCCTTGGTGTACATCTGGCTGAGGATCTTACGTGGTCAGTACACACAAACAAAACAGTGAAGAAGGCGCAGCAGCGCCTCTTCTTTCTCAGGAGACTGAAAAGATTCGGCATGAGCCCCCGCATCCTCAGGACCTTCTATCACTGTGCCATTGAGAGCATCCTCACTGGATGCATCACCACCTGG